CCCTCAGGTGATTCAATATGCAGCTAAGGTTTCAAACCAATGTTTTGGAAAGACTTTAAAAGAAGATTGAGATGCAGAGGGATTTCTGATGAAATCCTGTTGAAGGTTTCCATTATACCATGTCAAAAATTCCTTTAGCCAAAATGGAGTTGTTGTAATAGGGGAACGTCCTGGGGATCTTCAAGACCACAAACTACAGTCACTATCAGATGTTCTTAAAACAGTCCTCAAGAAGTTAAAAATAGAATTACCATGTGATCCAGAAATCCACTGCTGTGAATATACCCGAAAGAATTGAAAGCAGGGACTCAAATGGGAATTTGTACACCCATGTTCATAGCAGCATTCTTCACAGTAACCAAAAGGTAGAAGCAATCAATGGATAGCAGTCCATCGATAGATGAATGGATAAACCAATGTAAGAAGTACATGCGGCTAAATTGATTACACAAGGGCCATGGACAGATAGTGGCTCTGATGTCTTGGCAGCCTCTTTAAGCAAACCAGAACGTAAGCCTATAAATGCCTCAAGGTTAAGAAATCAAAACCAGGGGTGCCTGGGTGGCTCAGTTGGTTAAGCGTCTGCCTTCTGCTCAGGTCATGATCCTGGAGTCCCGGGATCGAGTCCCGCATCGGGCTCCCTGCTCAGCGGGGAGCCTGCTTCTCCCTCTCCCTCTAACCCTCCCCCTCCCCCCGCTTGTGCTCTCTCTCTCTCAAATAAATAAATAAAATCTTTAAAAAAAAAAAAAAAAAGAAACCTTATTTTTTATACCTACTATTTGCCCAGCCAGAGACCACTTCATGGGTTAGGCTTGCAAACTCTGTGGTATCCATGGAAAGATTAATACAGTTGTGTATTCTTGTAGTGGGAATGCTGGTCTCTACCACACAGATAAGATTTAGGTTCTAGGTAAGCAGCTGCTCTCGGCTGCCCTGCATGTGTTACACAGTAGGTGCTTGAATTGGAAAGGGATTTTTCTCCCTCTGAAGGACCCTTAGATATAGCCCATTGTACTCATTAAACCATCAGAGTAATTAGTGTGAACATGATAAAATAAGATACGTGCACTTATCCTACGTAATGTGATTATACTACACTTATTATATAATGTGCCTGTAACTGATTCATTCACTTTATGGCAATGGTATTGAGTGGCTATCGGCAAATCCCTTGACCTCTGTGTACAAGCCTTAGTTTCCATAGCTGAAATGACTTGTCCGATTAATGTTTCTTAATGGGTGGTTGGAGAGCCATCTGTATCAGAAGCAGTAACGATAGATACTTGTGTAAATGCAGATTCTTGTTCTCCACTCCTGCCTTTATTAAATCAAAAGCTTGGATAGGAGAGGAGAGCTGGGGTTTCCAGGTGATTCTTAACGTACAGTAAAGCTTGAGGCCCACTGGACAGGATGATTTCTGAGGTCTAGGGACTTTTCCAACTCCACCTTATTGTTGTTGAAGTGAAGATACTTATTCCGAGGTAGAGGCCTTAACCTGTTCTTTCACACAGGGACCGACTTACTAAAAATGATGTCGTTGGAACAACGTATCTACACCTCTCTAAAATCGCTGCCTCTGGTGGGGAAGTGGAAGGTAAGTCACTCAGCAGAGCTGAAACAAGACAGGCAGCAGAATTTCTGAAGCAGAATGAGCTGGAGTAGCCACCTGGCAATGGACTTGGTTCCTTAAAAGCCAAATGTGGTGAGCCTAGTGAACTGTTTTGGTGATGACCAGAACAGTTAATTAGTAGTTGATAATTGAGGCAACTAACAGTTTGAAAGCTTTGTTTTCTTGCTCCCATCCAAAAACTCTTCCCAGTACTAGCTATTTTATAAATTTTTGAGTGTCAATACAGAGTGCTAGCACCCTATTTTTCAGAGTGGCATTAACACCAGTCCACCCAACTATAAAATAATATTTCCTTCTCCACTGACTTCTTTAGCAGGAACAAGGATGTCAGCATAATCTCCACAAGCATCGATGACGAATGCACTTTTCATTGTTCTCCATACTGAGAACTACTTGCCTATATCCGGCATTAGTATTTTGTGCATATACCAGACATTGTAATAGGAAATGAAGGAGAAAAATAGTAAGAGAAAAAAAATGTAATGTTAACATATCAATAATGCCAGCAGCTGATTTGTTTTTGTTTTTGATTTTTTTTTTACAAGATTTTATTTATTTGAGATAGAGCGAGAGAGAGAGAGAGAGAGCACGAGCTGGGGGCAGAGGGAGAGGGAGAAGCAGACTCCCCACTGAGCAGGGAGCCCAACGTGGCGCTCGATCCCAGGACCCTGAGATCATGACCTAAGCTGAAAGCAGACGCTTAACCGACTGAGCCACCCCAGGCGCCCCTGATTTTTTTTGTTATCAAAACAAAAATAACAAAAATTCTTGTAATTGCCAACATATTAAACATATTGAGTAAATCACCTGAGAGAATTCCAGACAATTGTCTTGAGAAACTCAAGTTTCCTCTCATTCTCATTTTGTTTAAGAGGGAGCTTTACAGGTTAAAAAAATATTCCAAGCAAGATACAGTATGAATGAGAACCTGGAAGATATTAGAGATATCATGAAGAACATAGAGATCTCCTCTCTCAAGAAGAAAAAAAAAAAAAGGCAATTAGAAATTCCAAGAAAAAATGCTGAACAAAAAAGATATAGTTCAGATACAAAGTCACATGCGGCCATTATTTTAAGCAAATGTTAGAAGCTAAGAAAGATCCCATCTGCACATCCTCTGCTGAGTGGCAAAGGGGACCATACGATTGGAGCTGTAACAAAAAAAATGTAATCACAACTCTTTCCTCTGCAGAGACAATATTTATATGGCTGCTATCTGTTAGCACTACTAATTGTTTTTTGATTTTTGTTTCTTATACCCTATAGCCAAAGCTCTGAACAGAATATAAATGTTATTGCCCATTGCAGTGTAAAAGTACAGAAGATAGAGACTAGAAGTAGAGGAAGGAAGGGGAGAGGAGGAAGGGTAGGCTTGCTGGTAGCCTCTTCTTATCAAGTAAGGAATCCAAACAGAAAGACTAGTTTAAATCATAATGGTAACCAATAGAGTACTTAAAAAATCGTACCAAAACTATGGGGTGGGGGAGGGTCAAAATGAGTTAAATCTGTTTGTCATTGGCAAGAAGTCATTTGATAATTACCTGGAGGTAATTTATTCAAGACGTATTGGTATAAGCATTTTTTCTTAGTGATACAGCAGTAACATCCAGAAGCACTAAAACCAGAAATTGTTACATGCAGGTTTCAGCCTTGTCTCTGAGGCCTTCTCTCTCCTTGCAGGCCCTGCAGACAGTCTGGTAAGGGTCTCAAAATAACAAAAGGCAGCAGGCAACTCCACCCCCCCCCCAAAAAAAAAGCCTCAGACTAAATTAACTGGGATTTTCTGGCCTTGATCCCAATTAAGTCAGACACAAGACGAGTGCATCTTCTATGAAAAACATGAAATATTGGTAACTTCACCAGGCGTCTTTTGGTGGCAAGAAACTCGCTCTTCTCAAATGCCTTGCTGCCTTAGGGCTGGAGAGATTTGAGTTATTTAATGTGTGATGGTTCTGCCACTTGTCCCAAAGATTTGAGCCATTTTGCATTTAACCAATGAGTTTTGTATAAATTACAAAAGAGTCGTGTCACTCGGGTCTGAATTTGGGGGTTTTCTGGTGTTGCTAAACCACTTACCTACACTGGATTTGATTAACTTTTTCAATGTCTCTGTTATAATGCCCGTGTTTCTCTTGTTGTTTAACCAGTCATATTTTTACTATATAGATTTCTCATCTTCGGGATCTGGGGCTTCATCGTATACAGGTTTATGCTTTGTAATTTTGCTATCTTCTAGATTTTCCTATTTACTCTTGTCTTATTAAGAATGTATCAATTGACTGTCTTTAGAATTTTTTTTTTTTTTGACACTTTGCTGTCTCAAAAATAGCTTTGCTAGAGTATTAATTTTGTATTTGTGCTGTGTGGTTGTCCTGCGTATGGCTGAGCTTAACGCAACCGTGCTAATCAGGCTCTGCATCTCACATTTTCACCTAGATGCATACCAGCCCCTTTGGTGTCACTGTAAATAATTGTTTGTAAGAGATAATGATGTCTGCTGTTGTTGTTTATGTTCAGTAGGTAGAGATATGGGGCACTAAATCAGTTGTTCAAAATGTATGCAGTAACTGCTCCTCACTTTGAACATGGATCTCTAGGTTGGAAGACACTGAACGATTGTACCTTGAGGGTCTTCATCTTCCAAATAGGGGGGGTCGTGACGTGTCTTTTGGCTTGTACAGCACTGGCCATTCTTTGCAAGTTTGCTCAGTGGTCTCACATTTGACTATCACAACTCTCTTATTATTATGGGTCTTCAATACGTGAGGACTCTGAGGTTTACACAAGTTTGTCATCTTTCAAATAAACATGGTAATCCCTGCCATGCTAATCACCCAGGTGGTGGCGAGAGGGAAAAGAGATATTGCAAGTGAGAAAGCTTTGCAAATATAAAGCACTGTTGTCTGCCTTTGTGTTACTGACAGGATGCCCCATTCATATTCATTTTTAAAAATCCATCTTATTGTCTTATCATCAGACTTTATATGAATATTCAGTAGTCCTTACATTTATAACCAACTTGGCAGATTTGGTAACACTTCATTCCTTCATGCATTTGTTTCACCAATCAAAGAATATTTATGTGGTAGTTCCCCATGGTAGAACCAGTCCTCGGTGTTTAGGGAATCAAAATAAAATATATTTGAATCCTTCCCCACCCACCAAAGGAATTTATAATGTTGTCAGAAATAAGCAGCTATTTAAAGTTCAAAAATTAAAATATAAAGTGATGCCTTATAGAAATCCAAAATGCAAAGGAGCCTCGGAGGGGTGAACGAAGTGTAGAAAATATTTTTTGAAAAGCAGGTCAGAGGAAAATGTTGATGGCCAGGCTAAGGAATTTTTGTTCGTTGGAAGTTTGATGTGACAATTGTGCATAAAGTGGGTTAGGAAAGTTTGGGGGCAAGAAGAGACTTAGCTTGTGAGACTGTCGGCTTTCCTGGGAGACAATGCTGAGGTGTAAACACATAGAAGGAAGGCTCTCCATGTTACTGCATAACCAACAAGTCAAAGGGTTTAAAATACCTGAAAAGAGATTTGCTTGGACAAAAATAATTAAGTTATTGATAACACGATAACATGCAGTAAATCATTATTAACAATATGTGCCTTCATCCCTGGAAATTTTTAATGAAAACCAAATACTCATGACAAACAGCATTAGTCGCCCATGAGAACTGGCTGGGGGTGAGGTGGGGCTTGAGCAGAGGGATGGGTGGTGTACTGGAAGGTACCCTTGTCTGAACTATGAAACTCAAGATCTGGGCCTAAATCTGTCATCTTAAGAGACCTTTGATAAGTCATGTCACTTCTATGGGTTTCAATTTGCCCATCCATAATGTGGCATGACTGGTGCAAGAGTTTTAATGTCCATTCTTTCTTGAACATTCTGTGATTCAACTTCTGGAAGTGACTTCCTTTTTTTCACTATGGATCTCTGCTTTAGTCCTCTGCTTTAGTTCCTCACAACAGATATTCTAGCACAAGGAAAGAAATTTAAACTCTGCTTATTAATAATAAATTAGTTAACTTTGTCATGTTCCATATGGCAGAGGAGATAAAACCAAGCCAGTTCATATATCCAGATATAATAGTCATTTATTTCATCCTGCTCATTTGGTAACTTGGTAGCATGATCCAGAGAAATCTCTGTTGGAAAAATTCTTGGTCCCTATTTGGGTTTCACAAGAAATTTCCAGACAGGCATGAAATATGGTCCCCCAGGGTGTTACCAAATCTCACTCTTAGGCTGTCAGTTATTGCTTTCCTACATCTTAATTTAAATTTTTCTTTTCTCTTGCTTTCTTCACTGAGATTGCAATTCAGTTAATTTCTCCCAGGTGTATGGTTCCTACCTCATCTCAAAAGTGCCCAAGTCCATTTACACATGTAGAAGAGCCTCAAATAAAAAAATAATTGCAAAAAAAAAGAAATGTGCTTATATACAGTTTGGTCAACTGTTCACTAATGGGCATTCTACTCACCTGTCACTCCACAATTATCTTTCTCCCTTACATTTAGGCATAGAGTTGGAAAGGGCCATAGAGGTCATGAGTTAATTTCTCATCCATAGGGGAATTGTCTTGATGATAATCCTGAAAGTCTTGGCCTCAACATTTCCTCTTCCCCAGTGCGATCTGTCCCATTGTTTGACACCTAATTCATAGAAAGATCTTCCTTATATTGAGTGAAATAAAGAATGCCTCCTTGTAGCACCCATCAGTGGTCTTCAGCTTTGCTTTTGGAAACAAGTTCATTCTTCTTCTAATATGGGAGCATTCAGATGATTGGAGGCAGCCCTTACATTTCCCCATCTTCACCCACAGCCTCCCTTTGACTCCACTATTTCTTTACATTGCCCTCAGTTCCCCTCATTGCACTGGGGAGCAGTCTTGCTAAGTAAGACAAGGTAGCAGGAATATGGAGCATATGGGATGCTCATCAGAGAGAATGTTATGAATGGGAACTTTATGTTGCTTATAAATATCATATGGTCATAACCATAGGCAGACAGTTCATTGCTATGTATGAAAATTTTAAATGTCTTGTATTTTTAATAGCATGTACCATATTTATACTAGCTGCTTTAGACTAAGTGGCATTTTTTGGGAACAAATACAGTTAATCCGATATATATCATTTAGGTGACTTCCCCAGTTTAATCTTTTACCCCAATTACCAATGACACATTTAATACAATTCCACTTATAAACTTGCAAAAAATGTGAAGATCAACTTGTAAGTCTTATTATTCTTTCATTTGAATAGCATTATCTTTCTGTAATAATAAGTTTACCTGAACTACCCCAAAAATGTTTTGAATTTAATGTTTTATAGCAATGAGAAAAGGGAAATACAGCAAGTCTCACAAGTGCTTATAATTTGTGCTAATACAACTAACTCACAAATTAGAGGAAAATACTCTCACTGAGCTAACTAATAACTAATATTTATTTCAATAGATTGAGTGTTAAAAACCTCAAATCTAATAATGGTATTATCCCTCAGCAAATACAGGAGAAACAGAGGTGGGCTTTGTTCCAACATTTGGACCTTGTTACCTGAATCTTTATGGAAGCCCCAGAGAGTACATGGGATTCCCAGACCCCTATGATGAGCTAAATACTGGAAAGGTGAGTTTGTCAATTAACGTTTGTTATTAATGAACACTGATTAATGTGATTCCTTCTTATAATGCTTATAATTAAGTCTCATATCTAGGGGACTCACACACACACATATACACAAATAGACCCGACATGCAACTGATCAAGGGTTGGAGGACAAAAGTCCCATGCTCCTCAAGTCTTTGAATGCAAGGTTAGGAGAGGATCCTGGAGACCATCTAATTTGGCAATTACGAATGCACAGCATGGTCATTCCCCCTGGTCTTGCACTTAGGGCAGGGTGTCTGTGATCAGTGCTGTCTTTTTCCTAATAAGCAAATGTGTTGCCTCAGAATTCTGTTCAATACTGTGTTCTGGGAATGTACCAAATGATTGGAGGTGACATGCCCGAAGAAACTGTTCACTGTCCCTGATCCGATCCAACCTCTTCATTTTATAGATGAGGATATGGAGGCCCAGAGATGGGAAATGCTCTTTCCAGCACATTATGAAGTACTGTCTTGGAGTCAGCTCTCAAGGCCCAAGAAAGGGACTGTGGTAGAAAGAAAGCCCTGAGGGGGCAGGGCTAAAGACTGGCTATGGAGTGGGGAGCCTTCCCTTCCTCTCCAGAAAATTCTCTTGCCAGCACTGCTAGGTATGGAGGGAGGAGTATCCGCTCTTCATCCTCATGCTCAGCCGCACCCAGAACATCTTCCTCTTTTATTTCCTGGCTACTCAGAGACTTGCCCTGGTGGCCAACATGGCAGCCTTCCCTTCCTGAAAAGAGGTGAGAGGAGCCAAGTTGACGCAGATAAACGCAGAGCTGCTCTGCTAAAGTAGAGTGAGGGAGATTTTGAGTACCTTCCACTCCCACCCTCAGCCTCCGGAAACTTCTTCAGGATTCAGAGCATGACTTGAAAGCCTTTGACCTCAGTCATGGCTAAGATCCCTTTCAGCCCGGGCTCCCCTGGCTCTCTTTGGGATCCTTCCTCAGGTCACTGACTTTTCTTGCAGATACCAGAGACCTGAATCCAACTGAGAGAGTTACTGATGGACTGATTTTGGAAGTTAGGGCCATGGAAAGTAAACACAAAGCCGTAGCTGGATGAGCCTGACTAAAGAAAGAGTTCTTTTTGCTGGTGTTCACGTCTAGAGGAATAATCCTGTGCTGTTGCCTTTCAGGGGGAAGGAGTTGCCTACAGAGGCAGAATCTTGATTGAATTAAGCACTTTCCTTGAAAAGACACCACCAGACAAAAAGCTTGAGCCCATTTCAAATGATGACCTGCTGGTTGTGGAGGTAACTGTTGGAGTGTGGATGATGCTTGGTACGGGAAAGGGTAAAAAAAAAAAAAAAAGGTAAAAAGAGACCTGAGTCATAGCAAGGACATCTTGATCTATTTAACGCACTCTTGATCTATCTAAAATAGTCCTGTGTGAGTGAGGAAACTTGCTTCATCTTTTGTGATGGTAATACTCTGCTGAAAACTGGCAAGAGTAATGATACCTCCAAACCCCGTTTGCCCGTTTGCCAGTTGGGATTACGTGGTCGTGGGGAGGTGGCCACATGAGCCGTCCCAAATGGCATAGATGCCGCCGCTAATCATTTCCACTTTCAGAAGGAGGCATATCTCAGGCTTCCCAGCATGTGAGGGCGTGTTTATATTAATGCCCACATTACACCAGCTCTGAGCCCCATTCCTCCTTGAAGACAGGGAGTCTTCCAAATTCACCTCCCCAACCATTTCTTCTTCTTTTTTAATCAGCTCTTTCCCCTCTATGGAGACAACTTAAGTAAAACACCCATGGTCCATATGATAGAGAGCTACAGATGTAGTTTTTTCCTAGTAAATTCAAACGTCAATGTTATTAACTCGAGGCAATAAATACCAAAAGAAGAATATTATTATCATGAAACTGTTAAATGCCCCATTTTTTTCTTGTCTATTAATTGATATCTATAATACAGATTTGTTAACATACGTGATGGACAGCCCAATATTAAATTAGCCCTGTCTCTATTGCTCACTAAATCATTTCCAACACATCCTATAACATTATTATGGGCTTTGAAAATATATATTATGCTAGTTTATTTTTATTTTTTAACTTAAGAAAAATTAACACATAGCACTGTATAAGCTTAAGGTGCACAGTGTGTTGATGTGGAATATTTATATACTGCAATATGCTTATCACTGCAGTGCCAGCTAATGCTTCCATCACGTCACATAATTATAATTTCTTTTTCATGGTGGGAACATTTCAGACCTAGTCTCTCAGCAACTTGGAAGTATGTGATACAGTATCATTGACTATAATCACTACGCTCTCATTAGATCTCCAGAACTTATTTCTCTTCTAACTGCAAGTTTGTACACTTTGACCAACATCTTCCCAACTCCCCCAGCCCCTGGTAACCACTCTTCTACTCTCTGTTTTTATGAGTTTGGCTTTTTTAGATTCCACATATACGTGCTTTCTCTGTCTGATTTATCTCACTTAGCATAATGCCCTCGGGGTCCGTCCGTGTTGTCACAAGTGACAAGATTTCCTTTCTCGTGGTTAAATAATATTCCATTGTGTATATGTATACCACATCTTCCCCCATCTATTTCTGAGAATCCTGTGTTGATGCTTACATGTTCCAGAAATCTGAATTTTTTGCCAGAGCAGCCGGCTCACTGATGCCCCTTTGCCCAGAGCCACTCCTTGCTGGATTCCACCCCCCCACCACCACCCAGCAAGCGTCTTCAGGCTGCTTCCCTCCTCTTACTGTCCATTCCAAGCATGGGATAGACCCTTCTCTTATTTCCCCCACATCACATCAGAGACCAAACAGCAACTTTAGAAAAGCTTTACCTCCAGTCTGGGACAGGAGTAGGGATGCACAGTGAAAGGAATAACTTGAAGCGGCTGCTAAAGGTGGCTCATCTCAAAGCCACTGGGCTCACACCAGTTGCCAAGGGTTCCCAACCAAACAGGGCTTTCTTCTTCCTTCTAGGAGTCTCATGTCTGCCTGTATGAGATTTGTGCCTTTCAGGATGATTGACCTGGAGAATATCCTCTCCCTTTAGAGGAAACTCTCCCTTCCCCTCCCCCCACCCCAGAGCACTGTGACCTTGTTCATTGACTCCCAAGAAGACAATATTAGGACGTTAGAGTCCAAAGCAGTATACTCAGGATTTTTCCTGAGTCCTGGCGTGTTTGGAACATCAGTAGTCCAGTTATTCATGAGCCACACAGATTTTAATCCAGTGCCTTTGTCTTCCCCTGAAAGAGAAGATTGTGCTGCATATTCTTTCATAGGTTACCTCTGTCTCCAACCCTCAGGCTCTGGAAGGAACTTACACAACCACCAGCAAGCCACGGGGCATCAGTTTAACTTCACATAAGGAAAGGAATACTTCTCCCCCTACATGAGCACAGATTAGAACATAGTCCTGGCTAAAACATATGCTTCACACTTCATGTTACCAAATAGGACAGTTGAATTCAGGTTATTTAAATTGTGAAAGAACCCTGGTAGGTATTTGTTTTATATTATAGTTAAAGGTCTATCCAAGCAATTTTCCTAAAGCAAAGCAATGGTCTGCCTTGAATGTGAATTCATCTCTCTACTTGTAGAATCAGAAATTACCTCGAATTTTTAAGTCGTAGTTTTCCCAGTTTTTATTAATGTACCCAATAAAAAATTTAGGGCAGTTTTGTTGTTGTTGTTGTTTCTTTTGTTTCATTTTTTTTCTTCTGAATCAGCCTCTTAAGCAAGTGGCTGTACAGGCCAGGTTATTACAATAACTCTTGGGAGATAAGTCTTCAAGAAGTTATCAAGTCTCTCTCCGTCACTCTGCTTCTTATCCCCCTACCTATCCCTACTGATGTACAGACACATAAATAATACCATTTGCGACTTATAATACTTATGGTGCCATAATACCATTCTTTGAGTTAACATTAATGGTTTTTGACTACTCTAGAGTTATCCCGAAGTTTCTGATGTGTGGTCAGGAGTGATTTTGCTGAGGTGAGAATTTGAATCAGTTGTGCAGAAAGGCAAGTGCTGGTGAGCTCACCTAGCCAACCACCCAGCGTGCATGTCCGTGAGAGTGAGGCTCGGTGCTTCTCTCTTCCTGATGCTGGTGCACAACTCTTACTTAGGTCTGAAGGAGTCCCCCAATGTTTTCAGTTAGTTTGTTACATTCCATGGAGGTAATGATAGAATACTGGGTTATCCTTGAATTTTAGAGCTTGCTGTGATCTTAGGAACATCATCCTTGCAAATGATGAATCCGCCATAGCACAGTAACAAAGGGGGACCATTGAAGACCTTGAGTGCTGGGCTTATCCTGACTTTTCAAACCTTACTCCTGCAGAATAGGTCATAAACCAGGAATTCTCTCTAGAAGAAATGTATGCTGCAGAATCACGCAATGTAAACTCATTCTGGTTTGGTTTTTTCACTTGTTAAAGAGACACAGAGCCAAAAGCAACAGGTTTCCCCAGTCAGTAAGGTCCTGGTCAGAGTCTTTCTCTCCACCCCACAGCACCATCAACTCGGAAGTCCAGGAATTGTAACAGATCTTAAGAACAAATTTAGAAAAGGGAAAAAAGAAAAAGAGAGGGTGGGTGGAAAAATGGAGCAGTTTACATGCCATTTACTGTGAGAATCATGCAAGAAAATGGCTAGAAACCACCCAAAGGCCTCCATGGAGACAGCTGGTATGGCATGGGTGGTTCTGGACTTGAAGCTTTACAGATCAGCTCTTGGGGATGCCAGCTGGAACTTGGGCTTAGGCAGAAATGCTGTCATGAGTTCTTGGCAATTACAGTGCCTCTTTTGCTGTGTTCTATCACCAGAACACAATTTAAGTCCATGATCCTTCTTTTTATTTTAAGTACTCATAATAGAGGCGGGGTGGGAGAAGGGATAGGAAGAGGCTCAACAAAGTATGGCAACTAGAATGCAAAACCAAATTAATTTTTTTACTCCAAATAATTAAACACATACAAACAAAGCATAGGTCATAAATTTAGTGAAAATAAAAGCAAAAAAAAACCCAAAAACCCCCAAAAACAGTCAACAATATACAGTGTCCACAGTATATGTCAATCATATAAAAGAATGGCTTTTTAAAAACTGAAATAGAAAACAGAGTTAGTTTTCTTTGATCCAAATAATTAAACCCAGACAGAAAAATGGCTTATGTCATAAATTTAATAAAAGCAAAAATGAAATCTCTACACCAAAATCCCAGTAACATTAAAAAGCAGGAGAGGAGCTGAGATTCTGGACTTAGCCACAGTTCAGGCAACCAGGAGCCTCGTAAGAGGGTGAGATGAGCAGATTTGCATAAGCACCAGGAGGATTAATGAGAGCCGTCAGCCTAGAAGGTTGATCCTGACCCTTTTCGCGTTTCCAAAGATCCCGTGTTCCGGGTCATAGGCAAGTAATGAAACTTCCAGTAGAGCTGAAGAGGGCAACTTCCTTGCTGTAAGATAATAGTACTAGTATTTGCTCTTTGACCCTGGTTCCTGACACTGAGCTCCTAAATCTCTTGGGATTTCCTGGGTAGTAGGAGAGTCCTTTGTTCTAATGAGGTGACTCATGGGCTCTTAGATGGAGGCTGTTCTTGAAAAAGACCAAGCCATGATTAGAAGCTTGGAACTTTCTGCCCCACCTCCCGTTCTCAAGAGAGGGGCTAGAAATTGAGTTAATGATCAGTCATACTTATGTGATGAAGCCACCATAGAAATCCCAAAAATACAGGATTCAGAGAGCTTCTGGGTTGGTGAACACATACAGGTGTTGGGAGAGTATTGTGCGTGAGACCTTCTTGTCCCTTCCACATACCGTGCCCAACACAGCTCTTCCGTCTGGATATCCATCTGTAACCTTTATCATAGCCTCTTCTTATGAACTGGTAAACAGTAAGTAAACTGTCTTCCTGAGTTTTGTGAGCTGCTCTAGCAAGTTAATCGAACCTGAGGAGGAAGTCATGGGAACCTCCAATTTATAGCCGACATCTCAGAACCAGGACTTTTGATTGGCATCTAAAGTGGGGGAGGGGCAGTCTTGTGGGACTGAGCCCTTAATGTGTCTCCAGGTAGATAGTGTCGGAATTAAGTTGTAGGACACCCAACTGGTGTCGCAGAATTGCTTGGTGTGGGAAAATGCCCCACACGTCTGTGTCAAAAGTGTTGAGAGTGTGGTAGTCCTCTGAGAGTAAAGGAGGAACACAGGAGGGAGAGTGAATTTTTCCAACTCAGTTGCCGAAGAGCCCTGAGCTGCCCCATCTCCTTAGAACCAAACCTGGCCTCTTGCTCCAGTCAAGGGACCCTTCCAAGAGATGCAGTGGGGCTCAAACTGCCACTTCCCTAAGGAATCAGGCAGGTAGAAGATCAAGTGTTGCCTATCCAGACACCTGCTGGCTTCTGGAACCTCAGTGTGGCCACTGAAGGACCCCATTGATTTGTCTCCACCATCTGGGATCTGTTTCTAGACCACATCCTTCCTATTCCTTCCCAATCTTTTTGCGTGGGACCCCACATACTTTGGGAGCATTTTATGAACATGCTTTCTGTCTTCTATTCAATTAGAACCTCCTTGAGTTCTCCCATTAGTCTGGCCTACAGAAGTGCTTAATATATATTTGCTTGAAATAGCACATCCAGATTCTTCAGCCATCTCCACCACTGGTCAGCCATCCTTAGTAAACAGAACGAAAAGGTGGCAAGTTCGGCAGTTTTCTTTGGCACAGTCTCCTTGCCACTGACCCTTAATGTCCCATGCCTAGTGGTCCCACAGCCACTTTTTAGAGCTGTTAACTTGTTACCCCTTCTCAGGATTCTGGTTGACAAAAATGACCCCCTTCCCCAAATTTACTCCTGAAACTCTACACTATACCGCCTCCATCTACAATATGCACTGGTCTTTGATGATTAGAAAGAGAGCCCCAAGGCCCTGCAGAGTCAAAGAAACATCCATCAGTGTTCAATAGATTATAATTTACATTCTTGAACTTTCCCTGTTATGAGCAGTTTTGCCCCAAAGCTACTCAGGGAACCAAAGCTGAGGCTCCAGACTTCTCTAAACTATGTTGATTGTTCCTTCTTCTCTCTACCTCTTTGAGCCCAGAAGGCAGGGTGGGGGGAGGGGCAGTGGGAAAGGGCTGGGGGAAGGCCGGAATTCTCAGCTGCACTAGTCGAGAGCCTGGCTTTGAGGCACGTGAGCAGATAGTAGATCACCTGCCCCTTGTGGAGTTTGGACCTGCAAAATGGTCCAAGGAGCAGCTCCATCTTGAGCGGCTTGCTCACAGTGTGTGCCGATCAGTTGGTGATGGTCAGAACCCAAATTATTGTCTTACAGCTCAAACTCTCCAGGGTGAGGGTCCTATCAGGGCTTCTGCAGGTGACCGCAAGCTATGCTCAGGAAAATCCAGGGAGATCTAATGGAATCATGGCCACATAGAGGTGTGCAAGGCAGAGCCAGCCCAGCCAGAAGTGGCATCCCAACCCCTTCCAGAACCTCCCCAGGCACCTTCTCTCTTCTCTGCAGCCCCTGCATTAGCAGATGGCTCCAGCTTCAATGCTCATCATCGTTTCTGGGCCCTGACTTAAGCCCCAAATTATGTTTCTTATTTTTGCTCTTTCCCTTCTCTTATATCATCCCAGATGGTCTACAAAGAAGAAGCTATGCTGTATCTTTAAGTTCTGACTAATACAAATAACTTCCTACTTTCTAATTTCACCAAACCCAGACTTCTCATAGCATTCCTGAACCATGGATAGTTCTGGAGGATTAGGCTTACTACTTAGTGTGTAGTTAAGGGGACTCCTGACAAGTGACAAAAGTCTCCGACACCCTTTCTACAAAAGTGACAGTGGACTAATGAAGGGATGTTTTTGAGTTCACAGTGCTAGGCAGAGCCTCTGGGATGTGGGGCCCAGCTATAAGTATATTTTAAAGCCCCTCAGGTGATTCAATATGCAGCTAAGGTTTCAAACCAATGTTTTGGAAAGACTTTAAAAGAAGATTGAGATGCAGAGGGATTTCTGATGAAATCCTGTTGAAGGTTTCCATTATACCATGTCAAAAATTCCTTTAGCCAAAATGGAGTTGTTGTAATAGGGGAACGTCCTGGGGATCTTCAAGACCACAAACTACAGTCACTATCAGATGTTCTTAAAACAGTCCTCAAGAAGTTAAAAATAGAATTACCATGTGATCCAGAAATCCACTGCTGTGAATATACCCGAAAGAATTGAAAGCAGGGACTCAAATGGGAATTTGTACACCCATGTTCATAGCAGCATTCTTCACAGTAACCAAAAGGTAGAAGCAATCCATGGATAGCAGTCCATCGATAGATGAATGGATAAACCAATGTAAGAAGTACATGCGGCTAAATTGATTACACAAGGGCCATGGACAGATAGTGGCTCTGATGTCTTGGCAGCCTCTTTAAGCAAACCAGAACGTAAGCCTATAAATGCCTCAAGGTTAAGAAATCAAAACCAGGGGTGCCTGGGTGGCTCAGTTGGTTAAGCGTCTGCCTTCTGCTCAGGTCATGATCCTGGAGTCCCGGGATCGAGTCCCGCATCGGGCTCCCTGCTCAGCGGGGAGCCTGCTTCTCCCTCTCCCTCTAACCCTCCCCCTCCCCCCGCTTGTGCTCTCTCTCTCTCAAATAAATAAATAAAATCTTTAAAAAAACAATCTTAAAAATTTTAATACACCTCAGTTTATCTTTCGGCAGTACGATGCAGAATTATTCCCTCTTAAAGAGGAAGGAAACTGACACAGGCTGCAGCATGACTAAACGTTGAAGACATTACACTAAGTAAAATAAGGCAGCCACAAAAGGACAAGTATTGTTTGATTCCACTTACATGAGATACCCAGAGGAGTCAAACTCATAGAAACAGAGAGTAGGTGGGAATGGGGAGTTGGGGTTGAATGGATGCAAGGTTTCAATTTTGTAAGATAGAACGACTTCTGTGGATGGGTGGTGGGGATGGTTACACAGTGTGAATGTCCCTCATGCCACCAAACTGGACACTTAAACATGGTTTAGACGGTGAATTTTATGTTATGTGTGTTTTACCACAATTTAAGAAGTTTTTGAAACTATTGGCTAAGTACTTCTGTAAATGCAAGAACACATTCTTATACAAGGCAGAAGACCTACCCATGATAGTGATTCATTGAATAGAATAAAGGCCATGGTATGAATGAATAACAAAAGAAAGGAAAATCAGTTAATAAATATCCTACAGGGATCAAGTAATTTTTGTTAGCTTCCTAGAGGTGAAAAGTGTCATTACTTTGCTACTTAGATTATGGGATACAAATTGGTAGCAAGGTAGGAATGCATAAAAGCAAATCCAACAACAGAAAAAGTCATCATATGCCAAAGTTTGATAGCAGTGTGGTCTCCAGATCTCAAATGGAAGGACTACGGATCTGGGAGTTCCTTCCCTAAGGGTTTCCAAACTAAACTTGTCATGGTAAGAATTTGTCAAACAATTTGAGTATTATCACTCATGGCTCTCCATGAGTTCTCTAGGGAAGCATGTAGCCAATGTGGCTACACTACAGTAACTATTACATAGTCTCACACCCAAGCTGGGCAAGTGTCTACAGAGACTGGGCACCAACAGGGATCTGGAAAGGCTCTAGATGTGGACAATATTAAGTGGCAGAATGCCTAGGACATAATGCAATACAGCAATTTAAACCATTGCATGGCTCTGTTTGACTAAATAAGGCAAGGTACCCAAAGATCAGTGGGGATATGATCCACAAAGAACGAGAGATGCCATCTGAGCAAGGATTCGGGGAAGGAAGTAGATTCAAGAGACTTTATGTGCCCGGATGAAGGAAGGCCTGAAGGGCTCATGGTCGTGTCTGCTAGGCTGAAAGATCCTCAGTGTGGTCATTGTTGGCCCTCTGTTCGGCTCCCTCACATACACATACACTCAGTAAGCCAGTAGTTCTTTTAAAAAGAAAGAAAGGAAAAAAACAATGTTTGATTTCTATTTTAGAAAACAGAAAAATAAGTTCACCTAAATTCACTTATTTTTAAAATCTTACATTAAAAATCTTTATTGTTAAAAAAAATCTTTGTTTTTGATTAGAAAATTAATACTTAATAATTCAAACAATTAAAAAGGTAAAAAGTGAGGTTAGCCATAATCGCTCTACCTTCCCCAACGTAACTGTTAACAATTTTATTTCTATTCTTCCAGACTTCCTTCATGCATATGCCAATATTAAAATATATATTCAATGGGTTCACCTAAAAGTGTCTTTTTTCCATGTTTGCACATATGGATCTACCTGTCTTTTTATTAACTTTATTCCGTTATATGAATGTAACATAATTTGTTTAACCGGTGACTTACTGATAGACATTTGTATTGTTTTCATTTTTTTCTCTTTCAGTCAGCACTGCAGTGAACATCCTGGTACTTCTATCTTTGCCCACTTGAATGAGTACAAGAGAAACTGCTAGATTTAAGAACATTTTCTACTGGCATTTAATTCAACACTAATTATTAGGTTTAAAATACACCTGCTAGAAACCCACATATAAATAAGAGCAAAACAAGTTTCACTGAGTCTCATGTCTGCTCATACTTTATAGAAATACCAACGAAGACGGAAGTATAGCCTGTCTGCAGTGTTCCATTCAGCCACCATGTTGCAAGATGTTGGTGAGGCCATTCAGTTTGAAGTCAGCATTGGGAACTATGGCAACAAGTTTGACACAACTTGTAAGCCTTTGGCATCAACCACTCAATACAGCCGTGCCGTATTTGATGGTAAGACTCACTCTGACCATCTCTCCTTACGTGTTTACTAGAGTGGGTGCACCACAGGACAAGAAGCACCCAGCATATTCTCCCTTTGGCAGCCATTACGTTCAGCACATGCTTTGTGGGAAGAAAAGGTTGAATGGGAAAGAGAGGTGTCTGGAGTTTAAGCACCTTCAAGATGGGTCAAACCCAGAAAGTCACAGGCTCTTTGCCAGGGTCTGAACCCTAGTTCCCCCTCCCATGTCCAACTTTCACACTGGCTCTGCTTTGTAAAATCACAAGATGGCGACTTGCTGAACTCAGAGCTCCACCAAATCAGCTCCAGCTCTGCCCAACTCCATCCAACCAAGCCCCAAACTACTCTTAGGTAGAGTAGCTGAAGTGGACGGGACTCTGGCTCAGGCCCTGGAAAACCCAGCTTCTGGTCTTCATTCTGTGATTCGCCAGCACTGTGACCTTAGCCATATCACTTAATTGTAACCTTCAGTTTCAGCCTCTTCTCTGAAGTTGCTGTGAGGAGTGAATAGCTGTATTTGAACGAAGGTGGATGAGAAACAGTCCCTGCTTTTAAGGAATTTACATTCTAATGCATAAAATAAGTCATAATAGAAAGCAGAGTATGAGAATTCTCTAGTGAAGGTTATCAACAAATGGTTGTGTTTTTTTTAAGATTTTATTTATTTATTTGACAGAGAGAGACACAGTGAGAGAGGGAACAGAAGCAGGGGAAGTGGGAGAGGGAGAAGCAGGCTTCCGGCTGAGCAGGGAGCCCGATGCAGGGCTCGATCCCAGGACCCTGGGATCATGACCTGAGCGGAAGGCAGATGCTTAATGATTGAGCCACCCAGGTGCCCCCAACAAATGGTTTAAAAGTATACAGAAAGGAGAAAGAAATTCCAATCAAATGTTCCAATGGTATTGCCATAGTTTTTAACTAAATTCTGTACAAGCAGAGTTAAAAATATAAAATGTGCTAGAAAATGTTGGCTGATGATTCTTAACCATCGTAAGGCTCTAAGTAATACCAAACCCCATGTATCCAGCTAAGGCTTTAGAAAACAGCAAATTCTCTCTTTTTTTTTTTTTTGCCCCAATTCCAACAAAAATATTTATTTAGAATAGCAGGTGCAGACACATACAATCTAACCTCCTGTGTCATGTATTTTCTGCCACCATGTTACATAATCATCAGTGATGTTCAGACATCTGATCCTGAACCACTACAAGATCCTAAAATTGTTGTGTTCAGTTTACTAGGGTATTTTAGAGAGATTTTCAAAACAACTATCCCTCAGTTCCTTCAAATAAAACTTAAAAAACAGACCATCCCAAACCATTTCACGTACCGATCGATCAGTAGCCCTGTTTGCACATCTCTTAGTAAACATGTTGTTTAAGTGTCCAGTGTTCATTGACTCTCAATGTTCTACACCAGGGAACTACTATTATTACTTGCCTTGGGCCCACACAAAGCCAGTTGTTACCCTGACTTCATACTGGGAGGACATTAGTCATCGCCTGGATGCGGTGAACATTCTCCTAGCCATGGCAGAACGGCTGGTAAGTTTATCTTTTCTACATTTCCTTTCCACCAAACAGTAAATTCTGTGTTAGTTTTAGGCTAGACCCCTCTAACACAAGACCTCAGAATATAGTGATAAGCAAGATAAAAGCTATTTTGTAACAGTTGAGGTAGGTGTTCCAAGCCTGCTATGGAGGTTCGGTGGTACTGGGGACCCAGACTCCTTCCCCCTTGTTGCTCTGCCACCACTAAGGGGTTGTCACTGTCTGCATGGTGGAGGCGGCTCACCACTTCCAGCCTGAGGGAAGGGGAATGGGGAAGTAGATGACCCGGGCCTTTCCCTTGAAGGGAAAGACCCAGAAGTCACACACTTGACTTCTACTCATTCTCCATTGGCTAGAATCCAGTCACACAGCCACATCCTACTTTAAGGGAATTGGGAAATGCAGTCTTATGCTTGGGTTGACAGATGGCCAGATAAAAGCCCTCTTACTGAGGAAGGTGAGGGTGGATATTAAAGTAGGACAACCCACAGTTTCTGCCACAATGAGGTGTGGTGTGGAGAAGGGTTCATTCCAATAGAAACATGCAGCCCTTAGAACTTTACCGTTAAAGGAGTAAAAATCTCCTCTGTGGGAAGAGGTGGGCTCAGAGGAACCAGAGCCTGACATTTTATACTTTTTGTAAACTAGAGGACCTTGTTTGGAGGTTGGGGGTCCTCTCTGGTAGAAACTGCATAGATGGGGTATCTGTAATTTTCCATCTAGTTGACATTGATGAGGAGAAGGGGCACATGGTTGGGATATTTCTAAGTCAAAGATTCTAAATTACTTCTATCAGGTACTGATAAAAATCCATCTGTTATTAGTGTTTTGATTTCCAAATTACCTTAGTATTAATTTTTTCTAAGATCTAACCTCTGTCAGAGCAGGACCAATATGTGTGGGGGTCCTGGAATACCTGATCTAAGAGTCCATAGCAAAATCTAAAAATACTGTTTTGTGTTATAAAGACAATATTGAAGGAGAATTGTAGGTTTAAGTCAACTTAAGCCTAATTGTTCACATAATAAAGCTGCAACTGATATGCAGTCTAGTTGTGGTGTTAACTTCCAGTCCTCTGTTTTGAGGGAATTAGTAAGGAATTGATCACCCCTCTCTTCTGATTATGTTTTGGGTGTTCTTCAGCCTTGTTCATCAACACTGAGCATGCTGTCCATATTCCATGCTAATCTGGACGGGATGGTGGTTTCCCAGGATCAGGACTTTTGATAATCACGGAGGGCCCTCTCTCCATCTGTCTGTCAGCAGATGCTCGAAATGACACAACAGGCAGTGTATTCCGGGCTCAGCTTGTACTTACCTGCCCCAGCCCAAATCGCTGCTTTCTGAAGGAATTCTATTTCCTTTTAGTAGAATAGCATGTAAGAACCGACATCTGGGTATTAGAATACTCACTACTATTTAGACATGCTTTAGACAAGGCATTGCTTCAAGGCCTTCTCAGTGGACAGGCTTACACACGAGCACGCACACACACATTATTCACATGTCAATTTATTTCTAGATCTCTCAATATATGAAAAGCAATGAATTTGTAAAGATAATTCCAATTCCATTCTAATATCACAGGTTTATTCTAGTCTTCCCGATTTCTGTAGTTATACCTCCTTTCTCCAACAGTGAGAAATTTCATTTGCTCATTTGTTAAATCCTAAAATCCATAGATAAACCACTGCAAAAAAACCAAACCAATTTAGAGTTTGATATGTTCATGGTTCTTTCTTTTCTTTAAACTGAGAGTATATCATCAAAATATTGTGTTCCAAAGTTATTTGGGTTAGTTTGGTGGAGTTATGTTATTCATCTGTAATATAGGTCATTTGTTTCTTTTATATTCCATGTTGGGGTTTCTTCCCCCATCTTTGTTGGTTTTATTTTATTTCCTTTTTGAATACATAAAATATTTACATGGTTTCAAAGGTCAAAGGTATAGGAGAGATTGTCCTATTACTTGTACATGTCAGCATTGATTGCATTTTGAAGACAAGTAAATAGTGCTAAGCTATGGTGAGCATTTTTAAATGTAAAAAGCTAAATGCTCTGGTTTTTCTGTTAAGTCTTTTGTGCATTTTTTTCTTAAAGATAAACGTTAAACCTTTACTGAGTTTAAGGGCATGATGCACAATGACCAGTTATTTCCTCTTTCCAAACTCTCCAGCAATTGAACCTAGAAGCTCTGAAATCAGGGATGCAAGGTAAAGTTCCTGCAAGCCAGCTGGCTGAAATATGGTTGAAGCTGATCGATGAAGTTATAGAAGATACAAGGTACAGTGATCTTGTTCCTATCTCAGAATTCCCAGTCATGCTCTCCTCCCTAAACCTGTGAGACGAAAAGAGCCTCTAGAATTGTTTCCATTGTTTGCCTAAAAAATGAATTGTTAGTCAAGATTCTCAAAAGGCCCTAGTCATTGGGAGGAGTCTCTGAATCACCACCAGGAAAAGCTCCACTTTCGGATTCCATGCCAATTCTAAAGCAGCCTTGGGAGGCCAAGGCCCCTCCAGGAAGCACATCCCAGGGCAGCCTCAGGCAAGGGGTGGGAAGAAGGAAGGAGGGAACAGGCCTAGGCCTGACTCCCTCCCATCAATCTTTGTGTGCCCACTGCCAGGAGAAAGGGGACTCCTGGCTCCCACAGAGAATGGGGCCTCAGGGTGGAGCATTGACCTCGCCATTCAGAATAACATTCCTAATTCACAAACACATTTTTAGAAACAGCCTTTTTGCTTGCCTTTTTACTGAATGCCTATTGAACTCTGGCTAAGACTCCCTTCACAAAGCCAGTAGATTTGACTGGAGCCAGAGAAACTTTTATAACTGTGCCTTGGGGAACAGCTCAGATCTCTGGGCATTTGGGTATCAAAGGGGGAAGTGATTCATCCCAAACTCATTTTAAATATTGACTAATGGTGCAGTGGACAAGGAAGTTAAAAAGAAAAGCATATTGAAAACTTGTAAGCAGCAAAAACCAGGGATGGTTACACCCACCCGCCCTCCACCAATGCCCTCAGTCTCCCTGTCTTCTTGTGCCTTCTAGTGGTTTAGCTAGGTCATTGACACACAGCTGAGATCAGAGCTCGGCTGGGCTCTAGTTTGAATTCAGAAGGTTTAAATCTGGGTCTTAAGAGGTCATCTCTCCCAGTCTCCTTATTTTAGGGGTGAGGAAGCAGAGGCCCAAGGAGGTGAAATGATGCATCTGATGCCCAGAGTTGGGTTTATCCACACAACTTTTCCTGCTGCATGCTTCACACAGGCAACGTCTCTTTATTGAAGGTCTCATGTGTGACTTTGGAGCTAGCCCCTTCCATATGCATTTTTGCCTCAAGGAATCATTCCAGGAACTTAACCTTTCCAGTGCATTACCATAATTACTAAGGCAACCAAACATTTGGTAATACCTTCTTGTAGAAAATTCTGTGAATTTTAGGGTTTGCTGAGCAAAACACAGAACTATCTATTTACACAGTTTTTGAACCAAATGGATGTGAACTGTTTTTGAAGAATCAAATGGAATCTTTTTAACTTGATGCAACAGGAAATTTGTGTTTAAAAGAAGTCATGCTAGGATTTCCTTCATTTAAGAAGCTAGGGGACATTCGAATCAATGGAATTTCTAGGTAGAAACAACGTGAGTAGAACTTCCTGGAATTGGTGACACGCTCACCCGGTGGCCCCACCAGCTACCATAGTGAGAGGAAAACTGCAGAAGGCGGTGAATGCTGGCCCCAGCTCAGCGGTTCTAGACTTCTCATTTTAATGAGAGCTTTGCCTCCACAAGTGGTTCTTAACCTTTTGGGAACTAATGGGCCCCTTTGAATATCTAATGAGACTATGATAGTGAGGAAGACCAAGCTTGATGAGGATGGCAACGTCATTCAGACTTTACTCTGCGGTTGGCATTGTTCTAAATGCTCTCCGTGTATGAATTCATTTATTTCTCCAGCAACCCTGAAAGATAGATGCTGTTTTCCCACATTTGAAGATAGGAAAACAAGAGATTACGTAACTGCTCAGGACCACAGAACTAGTAAATGGCGGAGCCAGGATTTGTACCCAGATGGTCGGCTCCAAAACATGAGGTCTTTATCATACATCGCACTGCCTGCCAACACAGACATAGACTTTTCAAATAAGTTCCAGGGGTTTGCAGACCTCCTGAACCCCTCCGCCCCCCTCCACGGACTGCCTAGGGGTGGATGGTCCTCAAGAACCCTTCTGCTAAGTGCTCTGTAATCTGCCTTCCCCTCCTTCGTCTTGGGGCATCTGTACACTGGTTGTAAGAAGCAAAAGAAAGGCGGACCTGTTACTCCCAAACGCTGCAGCGGTTTCCATCTTCTCTCCAGCAACTCCACGGGCCTGGAGTCAAACCCACGAAATTGCTTTGGAATTTTAATCCCCCCGCATTCCTCGTGAGAGTTAGGAGAGTCTGTCGGGCAGGTCTGCCCTGCTAGCACCATGTACACTCAACTTCAGCTTAAACCTCCTGCTGATGCCGTCAGGAAACGGGTGTGGCTTGCAAGATGGAAGTCAAACAAATGAATTCGACAGCTTGAAGCCCAGAAAGCTATTCTGCAGATTATCTGTTTCTTTCCTTTTCTTTCTTTAGGTACACGTTGCCTCTTACGGAAGGAAAAGCTAATGTCACAGTTCTTGACAATCAGATCCAAAAGCTGCGGTCCCGATCTCTCTCCCAGATCCACGAGGCAGCTGTGAGGATGAGGTCTGAGGCTACAGAGGTGAAGTCTACACTGGCAGAAATTGAGGACTGGCTTGAGAAATTACTGCAACTGACTGAAGAGGTAGGACTTTTAAACTACTCAGAGGTCACTTGATATGGAAGACGGATTCTGTGGAATGGCACCACAGCTAGAGAAGGTGGTTGGAGAATCTGGTGTATTATCTTGGATATTGAGCAGATCTGACAGATGGTGCAACCAAGGAGTTACTGGGCTGGGATGCTAGTGGGTAATGGGCTGAGCATCACTGAAGTGAGGACAGGAGAAGAATTTTGAGTTGGTGGTCCTGGAAAGGTCTTCAAAGTAGGTAAGTCATTATCATTATCATGATACAATCCGAGACTACCTCAAGTGGAGGGATAAAGTAGCAAATCTGTGTGGCACAGAGGATGCAAGTGCTATCTTTGCTTGGGATTGGGAAAACTTTTTTGTGAATCCTGGACCTACCATATGTAAACTTGGGCAACCTCTCTAAGCTTCAGTTTCCCCATATATAAAATGGAGATCATGGTAGTACTCACTTCACAGCACTGTATTGTGAAGATTCAAGAAGATGATGAATATAAAGAGCTTAGCACAGTGCGGGGCACACAGTGGTGCTGGATGAATGTTGGCTGCCATTAAGCTCTGGGAACTGGAAAACCAAGAGAGTAGGAGCCCCCTCCTACTGAGCTTCAGAGATTCGTGTGGAGGGGGATCGTAATATAGTTGTGGATAGAAATACATTTGCAAAAACATGGGATTAGAAGTAATTTTTATTTTCTGCTTTCTATGCTTTGGTACTTTCAAAGTTTCCTATGGGGAACTTTTATCACCCTTATAATCAGAAAAAAAAGAGGTTTTAAAAAAACTAAATGAATATCTCAGATTTGGCAAACACTGGATTGTCAGCTGGAGATGCTTTGTCTATGTCCTATGACACGTATGAAACCCGTAACCCCTGACTGCTGTTGAGGGCTTTCTTCAAATGATGGGTGAGAGAAGAGGGGTATTTCCTAGAGTAGCTCTCGGAGCCGTGTAGGTCAGGCTTTGGGCAGGTGAAGCTCCCCCTCTGCTTCACCCCATCCCTTCTGGCCAGCCGCGGTCTGCTGCCCAGTCCAGCAGGCTCAGTGTGGTCCCAGGACATGGGCAACTCGGGGATTCAGACAGATCCTTAACCACAGAGTTTCTTTGCTAAGGGGAGCCCTGAGGAGCCAGCCTGCAGGGTGTCCAGTCCCTCTGTGTGTAGACTAACTCCAGCTTTGCTCCCTTTTCCATCCACCCACATGACCAGCCGCAGAACAGTATGCCTGACATTATCATCTGGATGATCCGGGGAGAGAAAAGACTGGCCTATGCACGCATTCCTGCACATCAGGTTTTATACTCCGCCAGTGGTGAGAATGCATCTGGGAAATACTGCGGGAAAACCCAGACCATCTTGCTGAAGGTACGGCTTCATCCCCGTGTAATGTGAACTGCTTAAATGCAAAACCCGCCTTCCCGAGAAGGGGCTGCTTTATTTGCTGATTATTGAATGACTAGGACGATTGTGATCGATTCCAACCCATTTTCTGGCACCTTCCCCTAGGGTGGTAGTTCCCAGAGAGCGGTCTAGAGTCTGCTAGCGTTCAGGCAAGGACACTTCCGCAGAGATCTCGGTGACACTAATATTAACGTGACATTGTGAATGCTGTGCTTTCTGGCTTGAATTTTCCTCTTATTTCTAATGTCTCATGCTAAGCAATGCCTCTTTCCCTTGCCTTCTAGAGAGTGTTTGGGAAGTAGAAAAAAAAGGAGAAGGTAACAATAGTCCATGCAGTCTATGCCCTGAACAAATAGGTCCTCAGATTGAAAACTTCTGAGAATTTGCTGCTTTAGGGCAGTTGGTTCTGAACATTTTTAGAGTCATGGGCTCCTTTAAGAACCTGATGGAAGCTACCAGCCCTCTCTTCCAGAAGAATGCACATCTCACATGCATCCAAAGTTTAACACAGGATTCAGGAGCTTCATAGACCCCCATAAGTCCATCCCAGGACCCCGCATTAAACACTGCTCTCTGTGTGCTTATGGAGAGCCAAGGCAGGGCCTGGGGCTGAAAACCAAGAAATCAAAATAGTCCCAGCTGCATTTGACATCCCTGTCCCTGGCCAACCCCAGCCCAGTTCTTTGGATTTGGGGGGAAAGAAATAAAAATCAAGAAGAGAAAAAGCAGTCAGGGGCGAGTGTTCTTTTAAAACAAGGAGATATCTGCTAACTTTTAATAAATGTACTCATTGTTCTTTAATCAGGAAAGTGAAAATAGAAATTATCTTCCTTCAAGTATCTCTTGGTGGAACAAATTTTACTTCAGATAGAACCACAATTACAATTGTGTTGGTCAGCAGTCGGTGGAAGCAAACTGATTAATAAATAAAATTTTGCAGTGGGTAGGAGAGGAGACAACATGGTATTCTCCGTGTTAGGTTTTAGAACTCAGGGGATAAACAGCAAAATGCTTTCAAGACAATGTTGTGTGTATTTATTGATTGTGTTAACACTCATTATCCTGTTTAGGGAGACATTTAATTCATTGGGGTTTTTTGCTGGTCTTGGGACCCCTTTACACTCAAAAAAATTATTGAAGACCCCAGAGAGCTTTTGTTATATGGGTTACAGCTATCAATATTTACTATAATAGAAATTTAAGTGAAAAATTTAAAAAGTATTTATTTTAAAATAACAATAATTAAACCCATTACATGTTAACATAAATTATGTATTTTTAATAAAATATAACTGTATTCTCTTTACAAAATTAAAAGAGTGTTTTACATTTTTGCAAACCTCTTTAATGCCTGGCTTCACAGAAATTAACTGGATTCTCATATCTGCTTCCACATTTAATCTGATAGAATAAGTTGTTTGGTTAAAGTATATGAAGAGAGGGGCACCTGGGTGGCTCAGTCAGGTAAGCATCTGCCTTCAGCTCGGGTCATGAGCCCAGGGTCCTAGGATCGAACTACATTGCTCAGCCAGGAGCCTGCTTCTCCCTCTCCCTCTCTCTCTGCCTGCCATTTCCCCCTGCTTGTTCTCTCTCTCTCTCTGTCAAATAAATAAATAAAATCTTTTTTAAAAATTCTAGAAAAAGGGAGAAGTATATGAAGAGAATTGGGCCTCACATAGATATGTAATTGGAAAAGGGAAGAGTATTTTAATACCCTTTTCAGATAATTGTGGATACACATTTTTGGTATAACACCAGACTCAAGTAGTAGCTTCTAAAAGGTGATTTGCAGTATGGAATTTGAAACCATATCAGTGAACTTTTCATTCTCGGCTGCATAGAAATCCATTGGTTTATCTTGTACTTTGAATGGTTCTATTATCCATGCGTGATTTTGTAACATTTAGCATTGATCATTTAGAAAATAGCATTTCATTGAGTTATGCAAATCTTCCTAATATTGACACATTTCATCTTACAATGTTGAAAGAAAATCACTTTCATTAATATCATTCATCAGAAAAATCTTTATGTATCATGATGCTATCAAGCTTACCATGACAGATACAAGTTTTCCAAAATTCTCATTTTTACTTGGAAGCCTGAATTTTATCATTGGCAACAGAATACAGTCAGTTATTGTCCTTGAAGTGACAGGCTAACTTTGTTTATGTTCAAGGAAACATCTGCCCCATTCTCAAGTCTGAATAACCATATTTGTCTGTCAAATGTTTCAAGTCAAAGAGATTTCCATTAAAAAAAAAAAGGTTAATTCAGTTCACATTTCAAGCAATTGCACAAGAGCTTTTTCTCAAGATATACATTAATGTGCAGCAGAAGTGATTTGTGTGTGCTTTCCATTTTATTACACAAAATATTAAAAAGATGTACTCATGGGGGTGCCTGGCTGGCTCAGTCCATAGAGCGGGCGACTCTTGATCTCAGAGTCGTGAGTGGAGCCTACTTAAAAAAAAAAAAAAAGTCCTCAAGGATCATGATTTGATAAGATTAGTAATTTTTACCGTCTTACTGAGGGAATTCATAAGTAAAACTAGTATTTGTTTTCTTCTCTGAGAGTGAGGAAGAAGACTGTGACCACAGGTTCGGTTTGGTGTTACTGCCCTGATTCGTGCTGCGTGCCCAGAGTCTCATCCACATGGTTTTACACCATCACTGAACCTATCAATACAGCGAAAAAAACAAGGAACGTCTTGGTATTGTTAGGAAAATAGTTTAACTCCATGAACCTCCGGGAAAAGCCTCAAGGACACAAGGGGGTCCATGGCTCACATTTTGAGAACCGCCGCTTTTGCTGTTATTATAATCTCTGCTGTAGGGCCATTTGGAAATTCTTGACGCAAACAAAATTCGACCAGGGAGAGCGATGATTAGATGTTCAGTCTGCCTCGGGCTTGAACGTAATGTCGTAGCCCATGCAGCTGCCAACATCAGAGCACGTTCTTGTGCATCTCACAGTATCCGCAGGAGAAAACCCACGGACCGAAGGTGCCCGCGGAGCTGCGAGTGAACATCTGGCTGGGCTTGAGTGCTGTTGAGAAGAAGTTCAATAGCTTCGCAGAAGGAACATTCACCGTCTTTGCTGAAATGGTACCTTCAGTAACATCACTGTCTTTTCCTCTTGGTGGTGGGGGGTGGGGCGGTCCTGTTACTTGTCATCCTTAGAGAAAACATTGATCCATTGGCACCCAACCATCAGCGCCCAGCCGTCAGCACTACCTAAAATCTCATCCGAGGGACCTTCACCTGGGGGGACGGGGAAAGATTGACAGGAGGTTTTGTTGTCCACGCTGGGACCCCCCAGAGTGACTGACACATAGACAAGCCAGTAATGAGGGCCCTGGGGAGGTGCAGACCTGGAGAGGCGTGCTTGGAGGTGGGGGTCTTTGGACCGCAGAAGACGCATTCATGGAGGGAAAGCCTCCCTAAGTGATTATAAAACTGCATATCCTGTTGAAGATGCTGCCTGCTGGGGCCGCCCCAGAGATTCTGATTGTGTCACTGAGTGAGGGATTAGCAGCAGCAATGATTCCTGTGTGGGTAGACGTGGGGCCTCAGTGGACCACTTTGAGAAACAATGAAATACATGGGAGCCACACGAAGCCTTTATGGTACAGACTTGGAAGTGCCATTGAAGATAAATAGAGGGTGGGCTGGAAGCCAAGGGGAAGGCCCTGGATGACGGCTACTTACGTGCGGTCAGCTGGGCAAGGTGGAGTGGGGACATCAGGGCACATGGAGGAGACGCGCCAGCATTCCTGGAGGGTTTCTTGGCATCGGCCTGCCCTCCAGCTCTGAGGCTAGAGCTAAGCTGGAAGCTAGTACTGAGCAAGGATCAACCAGTCCAGGGTTCCCTTTCATCCTTTCCCATTTCTAGATCCTTCCCTGCATAGCTCAGACTCTAGTTCCAACTCATCTTAAAGAGACAATCCATGCATCTTAGTTGCATGACTCTAATTTCTTTAGATTCTCACAACCTATGGGTACCAGTAGGGACACATTAATAACAAAATGGACATTTCACTGGTTCTTGCCTTCCTGCGCCAATACTAGACCTCAGTTCTCTGCAGAACCCCCAGCACCCCCATCCCCTACCACGTTTCTGGAGGTCCCGGAGGTGCTTCACATGTGCTAACAGTCTTGCTGAACTTCTTGCGTAGATTTTACGGTAGCTGTGCTGGCTTCCAAACAGAAGTAGTGGGGATACCCTGCTCTTCTGCTCTGTGTCCTTGTCACTTAGAAACCAAAAGGATCCATGCACACGCCCCAAAGTCTCACAGCCCCATGTGAGAGTAGCTTCTTTAGCTGCTTCCTGGAGCTTATCTCCTTTCAAGGCTCAGCACCCATATCTGAGACAGGTACTGTTGTGTCTGCTTAAACCCAATTTCCCCATCAAACCTCTACTCAAACTTCTTCCTTCTTCAACCTCAAACTCCCCTGTCACTTGCAAATCATCTTTTCAGTGGACTCATCAACAGAAACATGGAAGTTTCAGCTTGTACCCAAACAGGGACACTCACCACTGGCAAATCTCAACCCTTTTGATGGTTGACAGAGTGAAGAGCAGACCACTGTAGATTTATAACTTCTAACTTAGACAGAAATGCCCCATAAACAAGAGTCTGTCTTTGCCACTAAACCTGCTTCAAGAAAGGTCTTGGTCTTCATCCCCACTACATTCCAGAGGGGATGAAGGCACAGAACTTTTAGGCACCAGAAAGGTCAGGCCATTAAAGGACCTTCCTATGTCAGACAGGTTCTTTGTAGACTGCCTGGGAAATGTACCATCAATTATAATGTTGATTCTGCAGGGAAATGCGCCCCAAGTTCTAGGCCGTAGACCGTTTACAAATAAACTCTTAGAAGCCTGCACATTCATAAATTGAGGACTTCATGGGTATTTAAAAAATTAGGTTCAGAGAACCATTTGGAGCCATTCAAAATAATAATGGAAGCAACTAGTGTGATATACCACTATTTACAAAGCACTTTCAACTGCACATTTGAAAAATTCTGTGGGAACTGGTGGTATTATCCCCAGTGAACAGATGGGACTACTGAGTCTAGAAAGATGTGATTTACCCAAAGTTGCACAATCAGTAGCTGCTCAAGTTAGGTCCGTGCCTTCTGGGTATAAAGTTTTTTCACTTTCTATCATGGTTTAGCTTAAATGGGCTTAAAAATTTATGGATGGCCTTTATTTCCTTCTCTCTGATGGTGTTTCTCTAATTTGTTTTTAACAGTATGAAAACCAAGCTCTTATGTTTGGAAAATGGGGCACTTCTGGATTAGTGGGTCGTCATAAATTTTCTGATGTCACAGGAAAAATAAAGCTCAAGAGGGAATTCTTTTTGCCTCCAAAAGGCTGGGAATGGGAAGGAGACTGGACAGTTGACCCTGAAAGAAGGTAAGTTTTTCCATTTTCTGAGAAAAAAGGATGACAGTGGAGCCTTTCCCTAGAAATTGCTAAATGAGTCTTGTCCATCATCATTCTTGGTAATATTTATGTAACACCCACTGAGCCTAAGTCCATAGAAACTTAAGATATGTCATTGGTGCCCCATAATAAAATAAGGAAATATAAAAAGGTACTAATATTTATTAAGAACTTATTATGCGTGAATGTGTCAAGCAGTGAGCTAAGCACCAGTGTGCTAATCACTTTATTGAATCTGGCCTCTAGCCCAACAGGGTAGGTGGTGTCAAAAATTAGGAAGGGTCTGAGATTTTTACTTTACTTGCAAGTTAACAAGGTCACCTGCCCTACTTCATGGATGCTGGCAGGAGACACAGGACTCCTGGGTCAGAGACCAAGGATTTCACTCCCACCAGTATTAACATTTGCTCTGGTCCTCAGGGTGACAAGAAGATGGTCAGATGACACTTAAACATGAAGTGGTTGTGTAATAGGAGAGGAACCTGAGCTTAGGGAACCCGAATCTTTTATAATGGGTAGCAAGCATGCTGGTCCTTTGCTCAAGAGAGAGAGACGCTATCTCTGTCTTCCAAGATTATTCCTCCTATAAATATCCTTGATGCTGCAGAAACACGAGAACTCATAGAAAATTACCTCCCAACAAATAAGAACATTATCTCCACTTTACAGGGGAGGAAACTGAGACCTACAGAGATTAAGTAACTTGTCCAAAGACACATAGGTTGTAGGTGGTACCAGTCTAGCCTGGGCACCAAAACCAGCACTCAACTACTATGGAATGTCTGTAAGAAACAGCAGAGGGTACACTTTTTTTTTTTTTTAAAGATTTTATTTATTTATTTGAGAGAGAGAGAATGAGAGACAGAGAGCATGAGAGGGAGGAGGGTCAGAGGGAGAAGC